CCCACCCTCCATTCCTACCTCCTCCAGGACAAATCCTCCCCCGAGGACTGTGATCAACTTGGTAGACTCAGTCCAGGGAGGTCCAGTCCCTTCCTCCCAGACTGAGCCAAGTGTCCCTGCATAAGTTCCAGTTAGGACAACTTTTAAAGGTGAAATTGCTTAAAATGGTTGGAGTCAAAATTGTGTGTGTGTGTGTGTGTGTAGGGGTTTTCGAGACAGGGTTTCTCTGTGTAGCTTTGAGCCTTTCCTGGATCTTACTCTGTAAACCAGGCTGGCCTTGAACTCACAGAGATCTGCCTGCCTCTGCCTCCCAAGTGCTGGGTTTAAAGGTGTCTGCCACCACCGCCCAGCTGGAGTCAATTCTTAAAATTGGGGTAAAAACATTTTACCATTTTACTTTTTTGCTCCCCTCTGGTGTTGGGGATTGAACTTACAGTCTTACACACCCTGTGGCCCGTGCTCTACCACTGAGCTACACCCCCAACCCTCTTCTTACTTTTTTAAGACAAAGTCTGAGTAAGTTGCCCTAGGCTGATCTTGAATTCACTCTATAGTAGCTCAGGCTGGCATTTAACTTGTGATTCTCCTGCCTCAGCTTTTCCAGTAGCTGGGATCAGAGGCACAGCATTTCAGTCATTTAAAGTCTATATACAAAAGTATTAATATTGCTATGCACCAAATCTTTAGATTTTTGTCTTGCAAAATGATCTTTATATCCACAGAATAATAACTCTCCTTTCCACTCCCAGCCCCAGGCCCTGGCAGCACTCTCCCACACACACCCCTGGCACCCACTCCCCCCCCATCCTCCACCCCCTGCCAGCCCATGGCAGTCACTCTCTCCCCTAGCCCTTGGCAGGCACTCCACCCCCCTTCTTCAGCCCCTGGCACTTTGTTGCTTAGAGTTTGACTAGAATTGATACCTTGTATAAAAGGAAGCATACAGTAATGTGTGTATGAGCACTCATGTGATTATGCCCGTTTTTAAGGTTTTTTGATCTAATGAAGAATAGGCCTCCCAAGAGAATATAACAACTCACACTTAGACTGAAAGTACCTGAGTATCCATGTATGCTCCCCATTGGATGCTTAATTATGTAGACCTGGGAGGTCTGGAATTTGCTAGGTATACCAGGCTGGCCTCAAATACACAGAGATCCATTTGCCTCTGCCTTTGGAGTGCTGGGATTAAGTATGCACCATCTTGCACAGAAATTCTTACCACGTTGACAGAGGAACAAAAAAGCAGGTCTGAATGTGTCTACAGAGGTCGTTGTCCTCTGACTCCTGGTTAAAATACTTGCTTTAGCACTTACTAGACTTTGGACAAACCACTTAACTTGTCAATCCCTGTTCCTGTATAGAACGTGCATACTAGCTGATTGGTACACGTCTGTATAATGCATCCTTATTGTGAGGACTAAGGACTCAATCATGTATTCTAAGAATAGTGCCTGGAATATAGGAAGACCCAAAGGGAAGCAGCTATTGTTATTTCTCTGCCTCCTCCTCCTCTCTCTCCTCCTCCTCCACCTTCCCTTCTTTAGTCAATTCTTGCTAGTATAACAATGAAAACAATAGCTAGAAATTGTATTTTACACCATTTTGATTATCCGTGCCTAAGCCTCCCCAGTGCTGGGATTAAAGGTGTACACTACCAGGCCTGACTTGTCTTGTATTTAAAATGTTAGGTTTGGGGCTGGAGAAATGGCTTAGAGGTTAAAAGCACCGACTGCTCTTCCAGAGGTCCTGAGTTCAATTTCCAGCAACCACATGGTGGCTCACAACCATCTGTAATAAGGTCTGGTGCCGTCTTCTGGTCATACATGCTGTATACATAATAAATAAATAAATCTTTAATAAAAATAAAAAAAATAAAATGTTGGGTTTGTTGTTGTTGCTGTTGTTTTTTAAAGCACCATGGCAAACAGGATCCTATTTGATCCTCCTTATAGACCCGTAAATCAGGAAGGAAACAATCAGCCATCCTGACTTTTGGATTTAGAACTTGATGCTCAGAATTCCAGTGCTAACCAGTTCCAATCCCAGGAATCACATTTGGCCCTTCAAAGCTTCACAGTTGTCCCAGAAACTAGAAGCCGGGGAAAGCTTTGGTTACTTGTAAGAACGGCCCAGTCACAGGCCCCGCCCCTCCCGCTCTAGGTCCCGCCCTCCAACCACAGACCCCACCCTTCCCGCCTCCGACTCCGCCCCTCCCGGTCCGGCCACGCCCAGGCGAGCTCTCTGCGCGCGCGCAGTGGCTTCTGCGGGAGGGACACCTTAGGCCGCGGCCCCGCCCTCCCCGGCGCGGCCCGCCCAGTTCAAGGGCAGCAAGGCTGGGTGCTCCCGTCCCGCCGAAGGGGAAGGCGAGGGTGAACCCCGCGTGGGGGCTGGTCTGCGACGTGGCGGAGGCCCGGAGCCCCAGGCCCGGTAGGGAAGGGCGCGGACCCCCGAGCCGCCATCTTGCTGCGGAGGGGCCGGGAGGGCGGGGCTGGCGGAGGGCGCTGCCGCGAACCCAGTGGGTTTACCCCTCGGCCTCAGAGACCCGGCCGTGGCGCACGCCCCCGGGTTGGAGCTGCTTTCTCGGGCCTTCTCATCTGCTGCTCACCCGGTGTTGGTAGGGAAAGGCCCAGGAAATGACTGCTGTCCCATTGTGCAGGAAACTGAGACTCCGAAGTAAGGAGGAGACTGGACTAGGAACGCACAGCGAGGTGCTGGCAGTGGGACTCCGGGGCCCCCTGCCTCACTGCCGAGCCAGGGAGTTGGGAGAAAGACTAGCAAGCCGCTCTCTTTTTGTACCATCAGGTCCGAGCTGACCAAGAAGCATTCAGAAGCCAAGCCATGGATCCACCTGGCCGGAAAGAAAAATCCAAAGTTAAAGAACCTGCCTTCAGAGTGGAGAAGGCTAAGCAGAAATCTGCGCAGCAGGAGCTGAAGCAAAGACAAAGAGCTGAGGTGGGTCTCAGGAGGGGGCTCTGTGTGCCCGAGTCCGTGGGAGAAGGTGCTGGAAGAACACACAGCAGAGAAAACTTTACTGGGGGGGGGGGGAGCTGCTTGTCTTCGGGCAGGACATTTCGGGGAAGAGAGGCCATCAATGTCCAGAAGGGTGGCGTGGAAGCCAAGAGTCACACGCCAAGTTAGTGTCAGAATCCCAACCTGTCCCAGGTCTCTAGATGACACCTGGCCCAGAGCTTTTGTCCGAGGGATCTGAGGGATGCGTGAAAAGAGCAAAAGCAGCCGCGGATGAGGGAGGGACCAGAGTGGGGAGGAGACTGAATAAATGAATGAATGAGAGTTCCCGAAGTGCCAGTGTGCCCTGTGACCCCGTTACACGTGAGCATCAGGTGCAGAAAGTAGCTCCTTGGTGGGTGAGATGGTGCAGGTGCCTGACTGCCCGAGCCTGTTCCTCAGAACCCATAGTAGCTCGTTGGTGGGTGAGATGGTGCATGTGCCTGCTGCGGAAGCCTGACTGCCCGAGCCGGTTCCTCAGAACCCATAGTAGCTCGTTGGTGGGTGAGATGGTGCAGGTGCCTGCTGCGGAAGCCTGACTGCCCGAGCCGGTTCCTCAGAACCCATAGACAGGGGAAGAAGAGAAGGACTGCACAGAGCCGTCCTCCGGCCTCCACACGTGTGGCATGCACATCCACACAGACACACACACACCACCAGCAGTTTTTAAGTGTCTGCTCATAGCCAGGTAAAGGCCCAAGCTTTGAGCCCACCGGTGAGTTCCTTTGTTCTCTCCACACTCAATCATTTTAAGAATAAAAAGCTTTAAAATATTTACTTGGCTAATGAACCACATCCAGACATGAGTATTGTCATATTTAGTATCAGGAATAAGCTTGCCGGTCTTTTCTGTGCCTTTATTGTTGTGTGTTTTTGAGAAATTTTAAAGTACAGCTTTCTCAGATTGGTAGTGGTTGGTCGTATTGAAATTTCCCATAATTTTCATAAGATAATAAAGTCATGTAGATTTGATGTCCCCTTTGACTATTTCTTGTCTTACACCTTTTCTCTCCATGAGTAAGCTTTTTTGTTTTTTTGTTTTTTGTTTTTAAGAGAGGGTTTCTCTGACAGCCTTGGCTGTCCTGGAACTCGCTCTGTATACCAGGCTGCCCTTGAATTCAAAGATCCATCCTGCCTCTTGAGTGCTGGGATTAAAGGTGTGAGCCACCACCACCAGGAGCCCCCCCCCCTTTTTTTTTAAGATGCATTTTCATTCAGATAGATGAATATATTGTTTGTGCATTTGCATTTTGTTTGCATGACATTTTGGAGATATTTATGTTACTCTTAAGAATCTGCTTTCTTTGTTCTTTATAGTGTCTACTTTATAAACCTTTTTAAAAAGATTTATTTTTAATTATGTGTGTTGTGGGTATGTGAACATGAGCTCAGGTGCCTGGCACACGGAAGGTGTTTGATGACCAGCAGTGGTCACGATCTGGAGTCACCATTCTTCCAAGCAGCCGATGTGCTCTTACCATGTGGATTTAGAGGGACCAGCTGGTTGTGTCCATATCCGCTTGCTGAGGTGTCAGATTGGATGTGCACGCTAGCAGCAGCTGACACCTGTTAGCTCCTACTAGATCTGCCCGAGCCAGGCCTGCACATGTGTGAGCACACACTGAGTCAGGTGTTACTGTTTCCCACTTACCCTTTGTGAGTCCTGGAATAAGAAGTGGTGTGCCCAGAGTCCAGCCATCAGTAAGGGCAGGCCCGTGCTCAGAACAGTGCTTCCCACTTCATTGCCTCTAGGTTTTGTTTGTGGTGTTGGGACTTGAACCCAGGGTCTGTATGTGTCTGTGCTCTACCACTGAGCTATACCCCCAGCCCCAGTCCGCCATTTGCTTCCCCAACAGCTGTCTTGCTCTTTTGTCTGTGTTCCCTGGAAGGGAAGGGAATCTTTCACAGGAACGTGTCAGCACCTCCTCAGGAGGAAAGGATACAGATGCCATATTCCAGAAAGGCATGGAGGAGAGCTGAGAGGCATGCTTGGGGATGGAGGCCCATTCGGCAGCTGAAGCAGCACATCACACTGCTATGATCCTTTCCCTCTAGACCCAAAGTCTCACTCTTGGCTCAGACACCCTAGACTTTTTTTTTTTTTTTTTTTT